AATTAGAGGTTCCCACGTTGGCTAGGGGGTCCCTTCCCAGAAAGGGGATGGGTAAGGTTGGTATCACAAGGAATAAATGAGTCAGGAAGATATTCCTAAAGATACAGCTAAGTGGTGAAGTTTAATGAGGCTGGTAAAGCTGTCCTTATAGCACGAAAACAGGGGAACAGGAAGAAAAGAGACAGGCTGCCCTGATATTGTATATCTACTAGGGGCTTCCTGTTAGAGTTGGCAATGGTCTAGCCAAGGAAGCCTAGGCCTCTCAATTCTGCACAGCCAATTCTAGGAGGACAACTGGAGGGTGATCTGGGCTTGATGTCCTCATGCTACAAGGGACAAAGGAGCAGTCAACACCCTAGCATCCTTCTCATGTCACCTTAGACATGGTCTGGGTGGTTTACAAGGGTTGAGAAAGGACGTTGCTCAGTAACGTTCCTGACTACATTTGAAACAGGGTACCAGAGGTTCTCAGGCTTTGGGAGCCTGGGCAGCTGCTGTGGCTGGTTTGAAAGGCCTTCACTGGCATCCAGTGTTTGTATTTCTTGGCTTTTTCATCTCGCCTATTAAAGAGAGATACAAAAAGCCACAATTCTCCCATCTTAAATGCTACCAATTAAGACTTCTGCCTGTGGAGTCAGGGTTTTTTTCTCTCGATGTTTAAGCTTGGCCCTAATATCAGAGAAATTCTGGAAGAATTGTATCATAAGGAGTTCTTTTCTCTATGGAGACTCAGGATCCAGATTGTTTATTGTAGAAAGGTCTTTGTGAGGCACTATAGGAACTGAGAAGAGTTTTCATGTTTCTCCTGGATTACCTCTTGGATTTTTTTCTTAATGTATCACTTTAAGGATAGCCCTGCAGAGACAGTCAGAAGGCAAGTTATAAACTGATTCCTAGCAAGGACACTCCCTGAGGTATTGTAATTCCATTCAGGATCTCAGTTCGGACTGCCTCAGCACACACTGGGTGGATGGCATTAGTCTGGCAGATTTCTTCTGTATGTGCCCTACCCTGGTCCCAGACTTGCCTGTGCTCCTCCAGGAAAAAAAATGTTGGTGAGAATTATATAAACAGCACTGAAGGTGAGATTGTAAGATTAGGTGATATACTGGAATTATTTAATAAAGGTGGAAGTGTAGGACCTCAATTTTTTTTCTGTTTCAGAGAGTTTGCTTAGTGATAAGGGAACAAGTACTCTGACCAAGCTGATTACCCTGGCTATCTCCTGCAAAAGGGGAACTGTGGCCAGTTTTGGTCAGGTAGGAGGAGGTAAAGGGGATCCCATAGTTGTGTAGGAGCACTCAGCGGGAGGACTAAGAGCTGGGCACCTGAAGGGCTTGATTTGGGCAGTCAGTCATTGAGGAGGGGAAAGGCTGGAGACAGAGAGAAGGAAGGGACTATAGACTGAGACTTATAAGGGGGGAACCCCTTAGTGTGATTGCAAACAGGGGAGGAATCGTCTGGTTGGGGCTTCATAGCCAGTTGTTTTTCCTTCTTTGGTTTATGCCATGTCACTTTTAATCAAAATGGGAGTGAAGTCACATGGCAAATCCATCCTTCTAACCCTAGCAAAGATGCTCACAGCCACATGACTGCCTCTATCCCCATGGGAGTATAGCAGTTAACATGGCAGTCAGCAATTTGTTTCCTTTAACTATGTATAGATTTTTAACTATCAACCCCAGAGTTATGAGTTTAAGTTAGCCCTTTTGTTACAAATCTTATAAGTTTCTAATCATATCCAATATGCTTATAAATCCCGCGGAAAGATTTATACCTTAGCAAAAGTTTTAGAGTTAAACCAAAACCAAAAATGTAAAAGATGAATAGCAATGGTACACATAGGGGCTAGTCTGTGGCTTTATTCTGTTTTGCTCTCCTTTCTCTACCTGCTCATAAAGTCAGGTAAGTGGCTTACCTGATATGGGACAGAGATTTTGGAGAAAACTTTTAAACAAGAGGTTTGGGTCTACAGGAGGGGGAGCCATACCCCAACTCCAGAGCCCACTTTTAGTTAAAGTGGGACAGCGTAAGAGTCTAAAGTCATTTATACCTAAAAGACACCGGAATCCCTGTAAAACTGAATCTAGTAAGCTGTGAACAAAGAAGGGTCAGAGATAGAGAAGTTCCAAGCTCTGGCTGTAGACATATGAGTCTGCAAGAAGGAGCTGAGAGACTTAACAGCCACCAAAGAGTATGTGCACTCTCCAGCTGGCCTACTCGTTTGCTTTCTCCCCCTCCTGCTGGATCAGGCTCCCAGGTCATACTTTGTAACAAATTTACAGATACATTAAGGATAAGTTAAAAGAGAGGACATTTACACCTTTGGTGGGTGGGGGAGGAGACCAGACAAAAACAAACAGAAGTTGGAGCAGAAAAAGTGAAATAGAAAAAAGAAAATTTCTCCCCATTTCTCCAAAGTATTTGTAAAGGTCCCAAATTATATTGGGATCTATGGTACTGTAAAACAGCCCTTTGTATTGATTATCTGGGGGGTATTGTGGCCAAATTCAATTACATGATAAATTTAGAACCCTTCATGGTCAAATGTTGGATGAAGAGTCTGGAGGTTTTCTAAAAAGCATCCCAAGGGAGAATGAGAGGGTATGGAAGACACCATTCCCATGGATGAGAGGAAGGAGGGAAAGTGTCACTGCAGCCTGTAGCCACAGGTGTCTCCAAGACTCAGACAGGATAGAATGAGAACCAAATTATTCAGTGAGTTGTTACCACACTCAATGAGGATCAGGGGCATGGTCTGGATAAACCTGAGGAGAGACTTGGCATGTAGTACCAGGGCTTTTGTGAAGGTCAAAAAGCAAGGACCAATAAATAAATAAATAACCTCTTGTGATGGGGCATGCATCTTATCTATAGGAAAGGGTCAGGGAGCAGAGTCCCAAAAGGCACTAAGTCCTAGGAGAACTGGAGCTGGGATTAAGGTAGGTCTGAAGGGAAGGCAGTAAGAGGGTGTAAAACCCCCTTAAGCCTGAAGAAACTGAAAGATTGCAGATCTAAAGATAGGGGCATGTAGTGAGGCAAAGACGGCTATCATTACCCTTAAATATCATGTGGCTGGGGGTATCTTACCTCTAAGACTACCAGAGCAGTACTGAACACTCAATAGTCACTTCCTCAGATTCAGGTGAGTCTGTTGTGGGTGGACTGGAGATGAAGAATAGTGTCTTACTGCAGCTTAGACCACAAGCGGGAACACAAGACACCAGGGGAGTCGTTCCAAGTTACAGCCCTAGTGTGCTTATTACAGCTCAGATGGAATGGCAGTTGGGAGCCAAGGAATACCAATAAGTCTCACTGTACAACAAACCACGCCAGAGATTTATTGGGCGGGAAGATCCAAAGAGAGTAGCTGCCTCTGCTTAGCAGAGAAGCCACAGAAACTGAGCAGAAGACAGGGTTTTTAAAGGGTTCCTGGGAGCACAGAGAATTCCAGGTTGCTGATTGGTGGGATTTCAAGTCCTGAGATTGGGCTTTTTACCCAGTAGGGTGGGGACTGAGGTTGGTGGTTAGGGCAGTTAGGGTGTACTGATGGTGGAGTGTTTTTCTATTGGAGGTCCTTAGAGGAGGAGCCTGGCCACTAAAACTTAGCACAGCTATATAACCTCAACTCAAGTCTTCATTTATACTTCACCCCAAAACTGTAAAACACAGAATCTTGTTGCTAACAAATGAGGAGATCAACCTTTTACAATTGAGACTTTGTTATAAACTGTTTTATATACAGAATAAGTGTATGTGTTTTAAAAGGAGATTTCTTTTTCTCTGACTGTCATACATAGTAAGGGTAAACTCTGAATGATCAGAAATGAACCTGGGTATAGCCTCAAAAGAACTTGACATATTCAAGGTCCCAATAGGCAACTAAATTCTTATTTCCATTTATCCAAACACAAATGGGCACTCTTAAATAAATTTAGGAATACAGATGCATTTAATTAAGGTATAGTGAGAAATCTCCTGTAATTGAAAATCAAATGTTCTAATAGTGAAACTAATTTATACAGGAAAACTCAGCATGTCAGCATATAGCCCTGGATTGATCTTGCACATCAGGTAACATTACAAGAGTACAGTGCATTTCTGCAGGAAATGCCACCGGACATTATTTGCAATCATACCCAAAACTACTTAAAACAAGTTACACATGTCTTTGTGCCATGCAGCCCAAGTCTCAGTCTTTTGAGAGAACCCTATTAAAGGATTCTCAGTTCTCTGGGATGAATTTACAATGTTCCATGTTAGGGACTTGCCTGACATGCTGTGTCTACGTGTGCTTACAGAGGCCTTTGCAATCAGCAGTTCTGTCTTGTGACTGCCTTCTTGTCAGACAAGAAGCTACCCAAGAACCTGGGGATTTGTCAAATTTCTCAAAAAATACATTTTCTGAAAACCACAAACAGTCTCATTCTTACCAGTCTAACAGCTATGAAAACAATTTTATAAGTGAAATATATGACAAATCATTTAATATCCCAGAAAAAAATATATAACTTCACACTCACCAGGGACAGGAAATGAAGTCCCAAAGTAAAACCTGCCACTTACTGTCATTACTTTGTGCCACTAAAAGAGTTCAAGTTTATCAAAGACTTTTAGAAAGCACTAATTTAATTAAAAGTATGAACTTCTACAACCTTATGGAGTTAATACACTAGCAAAATTTCAAATTAAATGAGTCCCTTCCCATTGCCCACCCACCCCCAGCTCACACTCATAATGTGATGGGCAGTACAATGGGTGTTATTCTTTTCCTCATTATCAGTCAGTTCATTCTTACTGATTACTGTTCATATCCTTCAGTGAACCACTCAGAATCAATGATGGCCATCATGGAACCTCACCAGTATCTATGATGAATGACTATTTACAGCATTTCTTCTATCATATCAGGAGAACATGGAATTGAGACTTTAAATTTGAAATAAAAGGCTACAACTCAAATGATACTGGCTAACTATGAGCTTCTGGAAGTCACCCACCTGGGGCAGCATGCGATTTTCTTCTTCCAGCTGTCTGACTCTGGCCTCCAGCTGCCTAACATAGGACAAGGTTGATTCTAAAATTAAAAAGAAAGAACTTACATTACCCACAGGTCTTGTTTGGTTTACTGTTAAGGATATTTTTGGCTTGATTTATTAAGTAGGACCAAGGGATTACTTAGTCAGTTCTTTAAAAAAGAAAGACAATTCTTTCCAGAGAAACCATTCACACTATACAGTTTTTGAGCATTGTACAATGTTAACAGTATTAAAGAAATTTGCAAACGAGGATGCTGAGGCTTTTTACAAATATTGAGCCTCAGAACACAGATTACTTTATTTGTCCCATATATCAGACATTTTGTGATGTGATTTGTAACCAAGATCAACTTCAAGGTTTCATTAATTTTTTAAACTAGAATGAATGTCAAATACAGAGTTCTTTGAATTTTCCCAACAAACATTTGAAGTCTTGGAGACAACATTTATTCTTCTCACTAATTTATAGCTATTACCTGTGATGCAGAGAATATCTATATAAGAGCTAAATATTTAACTTGGAGTTGGACTTCTTTGATTTTGGGCTGAGTCTAATGATCTAAGAGTTGCTTCTTTCTTTGTAAGTTTTTGTGGCTTTTCTTCTCCAATTTTTAAGTAGATAAAATCAACAGAGTTACAATTGACTTTTTTTTTTTTTTACATTTTACAAGGGCAGATGGTGAACACCCAGAAGTGTTGTGCTCCATTTCTATTCACCCAAACTCTGCATTTTACAGCTTCTTGTCATAAGAGGAGTCACAGCAGGGGACACAGAGTGTGACTGATGGCGACTCTTCACTAAAGGACAATATTAAAAAGTCTCACAGAGCAGTGCAGTTGCAGGTCCAGCTTTACCCAAGAACAGACAGACACTTTTCAGGTATAGTCAAAAGTGCATGGCAGGGCAATCCCTCCAGCATGTACCCCATTTCTAGTTAACACTAGAGCAGCACACCATGCTTGAGGCTTCTTGATGTGGGGTATCAGAAACTCACAAGAAGATCAAACCATGAAACTGAAGCACATTTAACAGTAAATGCTGGAGCCCCAGTCGGTGAGCTTTAGCTACTTACGTGTTAAAGCAGTAATCATGGAAACCATTATTAGTTTTACCTGGGAATCCCTTAAATACACTCATTTTCTTCATTTTAATTTCAAAGGCAAAAAGCTAGTATTTTATATAGGATACCAGTCTTTAATTCACAAATAAAACAAGGTCATCTTGTTTTAAATATAGCATGGCATGTGCACAAAGATCTTCCGACAAGCCATCCTCAATTACATTAACATGGTGTCAATTATATTGACACAATGACCTTAAATCTTTCATACAAGCAGGTGGAAACACAGGGGAAACTGAAGACATTTGCTAAAAATATGCTTTCATCAAAGCTTAATGGAATGTTAAAACTATGTTATGTGGATTTTTTTGAATGGAGAAAAGAGTACACTGCACAGTGTGATAGGAAGATCACAGCCCTTATGAGTCTGTCTGCTTTACTCTGCAGATCACGATGTAAGGAGTGCCTCATTCACAGGCTTTTCCTCTAGAAAAACATCTTTTTGTTAAAGACCTTCCAACTTAACAACTGATAAATCATATTCTACTTAAGCCATGGAAAAATATTATCTTCTTCATTTTTCCAATGTATAGTTTTATCTGTTTTGCCCTGTACTGCACCGTCTTTGAGGTCGAAACTTAAAGCACTGGGGATGGAGTCTAATAGAAAATGCCACTAGAAGAAATTAGTTTTAAACCAGTGACCATTCCCAATTGCCTTAGTCTATTTCTCCTTTGTTGTTTTATTTTTTAAAATATTTTTTCATATGATATACTCTGATCACAATTTCCCCTTTTCCAACTCCTTCCAGACGCTTCCAACTATGTTCTCTCTCTCCCTCTCTCTCCCTCTCCCTCTCCCTCTCCCTCTCCCTCTCAGAAAATAACAAGCTCATGTTTTTTACTAACTCTTGACTTCAACACAGAAAGCATCTCTCATATATATATATATATATATATATATATATATATATATATATATATATATTTAGTTGTAGGAAATGAAAAAATTGAGTTTGAAAACCAATTTTTAATTTCTAATTTTTATGAAGAATTTGATAGAGCAAGTGCAAATGCAGACTCAGGTATGAAAAGATAAGAAGGACGTTTAAACAGGCAAAATACACTTCATAAGTCATGTTACAATGAAGCCAAAGAGAAGTTTTGAATTTGTCTCTTTAATAATAATTGATTGTGTGGCTTCTTTGTGTCAGTCACTGTTCTAGGAAGGAGTCTAAGTCATTAGAAGCTCTTCCCAATACAAGTTTTCTTTTAGATTACAAGCCAGTGTCCTTGTCTAAGAAGTCTTACTTAACCTTCTCACACAATTCTCCTTAACAATCAATAGCTATCCCACATATGGAAACAAAATCTCATAGAGACAAAACCAGGGACAGAATCTAGTCTCATGGGAAATTAGAGTACTCATTGTGTTGATGCTGTTTGTGTTCAATGAAAGAACAGGGAGGAAGTGAGTAGGCATACTTTCTGGATTATATATCATATAAGAATCTGGTATTTCTGTATTCAGAGCCATTGGGGGAAAAAACTACCAAGGAAGAAGAAAGAAAGAAAGAAAGAAAGAAAGAAAGAAAGAAAGAAAGAAAG